AAATTTCCAACCCAGATGCCTTTCATTACAACCAAAGCACCTTTGGAAATTTTAAGAACTCTACCTTTCCCAATGAATTTGTATCTACTTAAATCCAATTCCAATAAGGAAATCAAACTTTTCTTTGATCCTGGTACATGCCTCACATTTTCAAAAATTATAACACTTCCATCAAACATCCTTAATCGTATGTTTCCTATCCCCATTGTCTTGCTTATAGTGTTATTTCCAATCACAATGGAACCACCCTCACAAGGTTGATAAGAGTAAAATCAAGAACGGTGTGGAAGCATGTGATGAGTAGCACCACTATCAACAATCCAATTTTGATAGATAGTAATGGGATTGTTGTTAGCTATAAGCACTTCATCTTTAATTATCTCAAATGTTGACTCAACTTGGTTGGCTTCATTCTTTGGCTCGGTTCCATTATTCTCCCTATTATTTCCTTTGTTTGAATTTAAATTACTCATTGAATTATTTCTCTTCTAGCAATCGTTTTTAAAGTGACTTTTTTTTACCACAATGCCAATAACTATTATTTTCTTGTCGGCCCCTTGAATTATAATGGTACTTGGACTTGCTTCTTGAATTCTTGTTGGTAGAGTTACTCCACTCAAATTTTTGGCCTATCCATAAGTGCTTCATTTGCACTACCCCGTGAACTCTCTAAAGAAGCCTATTTATTTTTAAGTTCATTAGCTAGCAAAGCACTACATACATTATTTAGGCAAAGAGTGTCAACCTTGGCACAACTTAAGGTTGTATCATAACTATCCAACAAGGTACACAACAAAGTCACTGCCTTATCTTCCTCTTCCATCCTCACACCAATGCTCTTAAGCTGACTAAGCATGTCAATGAAGATGTTCAAGTGTTCGGAGACCTTCATCCCTTTCTTCATTTTCAAGCTATACAACCTCTTCTTTAAGAGTACCCAATTTAAGAGAGATTTGGTTTGATACAGACTTTCTAATTTTGTCCACAGCCCCATGACTACTTTTTCTCCTTTTACATTGAATACTACTTTATCCGCCAAATACAAGCGAATTGTAGAAACCACATTTATCTGGTCCCAATTATCACCTGAGATGCTTATTGGCTTCTTTTCCTTTCTGAGCAAAGCTTTTACTGCCCTTATTGAACAAGAATGTCATGGATTTTAAGTTTCCATAGCTCAAAGTTCTCAAACTCAAACTGGTTACTATCCATTTTACTGCATTTTTCTTTCCTCAAACAATCTCACAAACACCTTGTGTGCCAAATCTGGATGCTTTGATACCACTTGTTGAGGATCCTATGCCTAGTAGTCGATTACTATGCCTTGACGGTCGACTGCTATATCCTACTAGTTGACTACTACCAGTAGACTACTTCTAGTACTTGACTACTTTGCAAAAAGATTTCCAAGTAGTCGACTACTATGTACAACAAGCTCGGAAAACCCAGAACCAAGAATATCCACTAGAATAAAAGGTAAATAGTAGTTTAAATAAAGGAAAATAAAAGGAAGCAATTAAAGAGGAGACAAAAGATTTATGTGGTTCACCAAATGAGGGCTACATCCACCGGCAAAGCCAACAGATCCATTGATTCACTATCAAGAAATGGATATAGGAGATTTGTGTACAACACCTCTCTACCACTGTTGTGAGATACCCCACAATGTCACCTCAAACCTAGAAGACCACTATGAAGAAAGCCAAACTTGTCAGACTACCCCCTTTGTTAAGAAAAAAGGTTATAGAGAGAACCACCACACCCAAGTGTACTTTGCAAACACAAAGAAGCTATCGTTCATTCTTTTTATTGCTCTCTCTCTGCCTCTTAAAAGCCCCTTGTCTCTCTCCTTCTCACTACCTTTTTAGAAAAAGAAACCCTACTAAGGATATATTTCCTCCTTAGGTTGCGTTTGGAATTAGTGTAAAATGGCATCAATGTAAAAATACAATGATAACATTTTTTACACTAACCAAGAAAATGACCATTGCTTTTTGAAAATAGCGATGGGTGGAAGAGTGTAAAGTTTTACACCAATAAAATCGATGTAATGTTTACATTGGTTATCGATGTAAAACTTTAGAGCTAATGAGGTTTTACATCGATTATCGATGTAAAACTCCACTCCATCCCAACGCAAACAAAACTGAACCGGAGTAGAATTTTATATCGATAATAATTACACCCTCTTTCCAAACACATACAAAACTAAATTGATATAAATTTTACATTAATTTTTTATTTACCTCGCATCCAAATGCAACCTTAATTCTTGTTCCCAAACAATTCAAATTGAGGAATACCAAAATTACACTTTGCAGACAAGAAAATGTCACTTAAGTGCAATAAAAATAACATGGTGATTTCTTATCACCCACACAACATGATCGAAGAGATGATGCCTCCACCATGTGACACACATGAGGTGGCTAGTCATAACGACAGCAGAAGAGAAATTTGATGGAAGGTGAGTTGCAGCCAAAGTGAGCACATGGAAATTTGATGACCCAAGTTATGTGTTCCCTCATCTCTTTAAGTTTGATATCTCAGAAAAACTCAAACCTTTTTTGTTTTGTTCTTTTGCTTAATGAGACTAGTGGACTACACAACAGCGGTAGCCCATCCCCATCTCCCAACCCCAACCCCAACCCTAGTGGCAGCGGAATTTGATCCGCTACCACAAAGAATCAGCGATCCAAACACGAGTCTCTTGCAAGTTCACTTTTCTAACAAGCTTACCATGACTTCTTTCTATCCAAACAGTTATATTTATGACGCATATAACTACAGTCAAGTCAATGATAGTTATCATACAAAAGTGGTTCATATGCGCTATTATTATTTTTTAATAACAAAATTAATCCTGACCTATTAGCCTATTTATTCTAATTAACTAATTTTATTTTAATGAAAAATAATTCTTAAGTTATCTTTTCCCCTATTTTATGTTCATCCAACGATTCTATTTGAGTGAACGGATGAGCCTATTTTTGTAATTTTTGTTTAAAGGACAAAGTTGAATAGAGGAATTGCAAATACCCTGTTTGACGAGGGAGTCTCTGCGGAGCTATCAGAAGAAATAATTTCAAGAGAAAGAAGAAAAATGAAAAGGAAGTTTCAAATCATAAATCACTTTTTGTCTAAACACTTAAACGTGACATTGACTTGTTTTAAGACTACCCAATAGACTCAGAGAACCATGACAATAGTAGATATTTAGAGGGAGTTGCATGCAGATGGCCAGATGCAGATCATCATTTAAAACACAACAGAGGACAAATTAAAGCAGCAGGCCTTTCTTGTTGACAAAAGTGTACCCCGGTCTATTTCTACTTTGTCCTTCTTATCTGTGTTTGATCCAACCGTCAATCTGGTCTACATATAATGACGATATTGGTGATGGAATTAAATTCGATATATTCATAGCAAGTAGATGTGCATCTAGATTTTAGAAAAGGTGTGGCTCTCATAATTACTCCTGGGAAGTGGGAAAGGGCAGTCAGGGAACACGACGATACAATATTTTTTTTTTTTGGTAATAATACAATATCTTTAGTTAAAACTACAAAAAAGTGAGGTAAATATAGACTAGCCTACCTCTGTTTTATTTATTTTTACATTTTTGAGAGCCGTATATCTCTTTTTTTTTTTTTTTTTTTTTTTCTTATCTACTGTTGAATCACTCTGGATTGTAGCGTCTTTTAACTCTATTAATAGGATCTTTATTCAACTCCACTAACCCCACCCATTTTACTTAGTTAAAGGCTAATTGATATATTCTCAGGTTTCACTAAACTATTTAAATTCCCTGGTTAAATTAACCGATACGATTGACACGAAAAAAAATCATGGTTTTCAAAACTGGACCTGACCAGAAAAACTGAGAACCAGTTAGGTGATCGGTTTCGTTTTCCTCAAAAATTGGATTTCTCTCTAAAACCATTGATTTTGGTCAATGAGCTGTTAAATCGGATGATTAATTATTTGAACCATTTGAACGGTTTTGATCATTTTTTATTTTTTTTTTAGAATGGGCCAAGCATTCAAGCTTTTTTTAAATTAAAAAACTCTTAACTGTTGTTTGATTTTTTTTTTTTTTTTTAAGCCCATGAACAATTTCGTTCAACTTTGCTCATAAATAGAGGGATTATTGCTTACAAAAATAGTTGAAAGAAAATCAGGTAATGTAGTCCAAATTTCCAAATACGAGTGTGAGTAATTAAGAGAGAGAGCTTTCCGAGCTATAGTATGGGCCCCACAATTCGTAGTATGTGAAACAAATTCTACTAAGCAAGATGAAAGGCTAGCAATGAGAGTCGTGCAATCTGCCAATATAGTGCAAAGCCGCCATGGTGGACCAAAATGATCATCAACAATATTCTTAGCGTCACCTTCAATAATTGAGGAGGAAAGATATGAAGTTCACATCTCCACCCCACAACATCCCTACAGCACATCCCCGTCTGTATTAAGAATATCTTCCGATGATAGTACTAGAATCGATAATGTTATCATTGGGAGATATTTCCAATACATGGTGAGGATGTACTGTAGGGCGTTATGGGGCGGAGATGTGAACTCAAAGATATGTGCCCTATTTGGTTCACACCAAGTGCAGTAGTAGCAAAACTTCAAAATATTCATTTGCTGGTGCATGTGAAAATTGTTAAAGTTTATTATTTTGTTGTTATTTAGCAGAATATATTTGTAATCCTATTCTTTAGGAAGTTAGGTAGTGTTTACTAATTTTTTAGGAAAAAGTCATGAGCTTAGGAGTTGTTAGTCATGGGTTAGTTGCTGCCTATTTTTCTGTTATGTGCATCTCTGATTTAGTTGTATTTAATGGTTTAAATTCATTAATAAAATTATGCTCTCCAGTAAATAGATTAGCTTTGCCTTTTACGTGAGTTCTAAACAGTTTTAAGCACTAACATTTGGTATCAGAGTCAACAAGGGTTTTGGATTTATTTTGTTCTTTTGCAGACAACCAGCAGGCGACAATGGCATCAGACAACAGCTATGTGCAACCAACAATTCCTCGCTTTGATGGTCATTATAATCATTGGAGTATGTTGATGGAGAATTTTCTACGATCCAAGGAGTATTGGACTATTGTGGAAACAGGTGTGGCTGAACCAGCTCCTGGAGTTGTATTGTCAGAAGCAGAGCAAAAGAAACTAGAAGAACGGAAGTTAAAGGATCTCAAGGCAAAGAATTATTTGTTCCAAGCAATTGATCATTCCACTTTGGAGACTATTCTGCAAAAGGATACTTGTAAACAGATCTGGGATTCCATGAAGAAAAAGTATTAGGGCACAACAAGGGTGAAAAGGCAGCAGCTTCAAGCTCTTTGCAAAGAGTTTGAGATTCTTCACATGAAGCAAGGAGAGTCTGTTGATGAGTATTTCTCAAGAACCTTGGCAATAGTAAACAAGATGCGTATCCATGGTGACAAAATTGAAGATGTGGCTGTGGTGGAAAAGATTCTTCGATTAATGGCTCCTAAATTCTCTTATGTGGTTTGTTCTATTGAGGAGTCAAAAGATCTTGATGAAGTTTCAATCGATGAATTGCAAAGTTCTTTGCTTGTGCATGAGCAGAGAATGACAACATCAACATGTTCAACCGAAGAACAAGCTTTAAAGGCTTCAACTCATGGTGAAAGCTCTATAGGGATAGGATCAAGTAGAGGTTGTGGTCGAGGCCATGGAAGAGGACGAGGAAGAGGAAGAGGTTCTTATACACCAGATTCTCGGGGCAGAGGCAGAGGACATGATCACCACCAGCAATCTCTCAACAATGACTCAAAGTTTGATAAGTCCAACATCGAGTGCTACCGCTGCCACAAGTTTGGTCATTACAAGTCTGAATGCACTGCAAGCTCTAACAATGACAAATGAGAGCATTCCAACTTTGCAGAGAAAAAGGAACAAGAAATACTCTTGATGGCATCTCACCCCAAGGAGGAGCTTGAACCAAACATATGGTATATAGATACGGGATGTAGCAATAATATGTGTGGTAACAAGTCTTTCTTTTCCCATTTAAATGAAAATTTTCATTCTACTATGACCTTTGGTGATCATTCTAAAGTAAATGTTATGGGAAAGGGTGATGTCCAAATTAAGACTAAAAAGGGAAACATTGAGACTATATCAAATGTTTTTTATATTCCTGATTTGAAAAGCAATTTATTAAGTGTTGGACAGCTGCAAGAGAAGGGATATGAGACGACAATCAAAGGAGGTGCTTGTGAAATCTATGATCCAAGAAGAGGAGTAATAGCTCATGTCAAGATGACTTCAAACAGGTTGTTTCCACTTAAAATAGAAAGCATTGAAACATGTTTTAAGGCTGATGTAAATGAGTCCACATGGCTTTGGCATTTGCGATATGCCCATTTGAATTTCAAAGGTCTTTCTCATAAGAAAATGGTAACCGGTCTTCCTCAAATTACTCCTCCCTCCAAAATATGTGAAGAATGTGTTGTTGGCAAACAACATCGTGAACAATTTCCAAAAGGCAAGGCATGGAGAGCGCATAGACCATTGGAGCTAATCCATTCTGATATATGTGGTCCAATAAATCCAATATCAAATGGTAAAAACAAATATTTTATTTCTTTTATTGACGATTATCGTCGAAAAACATAGACTTATTTCTTGCAGGAAAAATCTGAAGCATTCTTAGCTTTCAAAAGCTTTAAAGCCTTAGTGGAGAATGAAGTTGGGAGAACAATTAAGACTCTCCGAACTGATCGTGGGGGAGAATATATGTCACAAGAATTTGCAAATTTTTGTGATGAGGATGGAATTCAACGTCAATTGACAACAGCCTACATGCCTTAGCAAAATGGCATAGCAAAAAGGAAGAATTGGACTATCCTCAACATGGTTCGAAGCATGACAGCAAATGGAAGGATTCCAAAAAGATTTTGGCCGGAAGTAGTAAATTGGAGTGTTCATGTTTTGAATCGAAGTCCCACTTTTTCGGTTAGAAACATGACTCCACAAGAAGCTTGGGATGGGTGGAAACCATCGGTTGATCATTTTAAAGTCTTTGGGTGCATTGCATATGCACACATTCCCGATGAGAAGAGGAAGAAGTTGGATGACAAAGGCGAAAAATGTGTCTTTCCTGGAATTAGTGAGCAGTCAAAGGCTTACAAGTTATTCAATCCAATCACAGGAAAGATTGTCATCAGCCGCAATGTTGTTTTTGATGAAGAAAACACATAAAATTGGATAGAGAACACTACAGGGCAGCAACCAATACCTGTGGACTTTGAAGAAAAAGGAGCAGAAATGCAAACTATTTTTGATACACCTCTGTCATTACAACCTGACCATCAGTTGTAGCAGCCACTTGATGTCACTGAAGCTCAAACAGAAGGTGCAAGTTCAAGATCTCAACGAATCAAAAGAAGACCAGCATGGATGGAGGATTATGAGGTTAGTGGTGATCATTCTGATGATACTCTTGCTCTTTATGCTTTATTATCGGATTGTGATCACCACTAACCTCATAATCCTCCATCCATACTAGTCTTCTTCTGATTCGTTGAGATCTTGAACTTGCACCTTATGTTTGAGCTTCAGTGACATCAAGTGGCTGCTGCAACTAATGGTCAGGTTGTAATGACAGAGGTGTATCAAAAATAGTTTGCATTTCTGCTCCTTTTTCTTCAAAGTTCACAGGTATTGGCTGCTGCCCTGTAGTGTTCTCTGTCCAATTCCATGTATTTTCTTCATCAAAAACAACATCGCGACTGATGACAATCTTTCCTGTGATTGGATTGAATAACTTGTAAGCCTTTGACTGTTCACTAATTCCAAGAAAGACACATTTTTCGCCTTTGTCATCCAACTTCTTCCTCTTCTCATTGGGAATGTGTGCATATGCAATGCACCCAAAGACTTTAAAATGATCAACCGATGGTTTCTGCCCATCCCAAGCTTCTTGTGTGTGTCAAGTTATTTGGTTGAAAAGAATACTTGAATTGTTGCATTGTTTCAAGCAGGAGAGTATACAGATATATTGTGATAATAGTTCAGCCATTAAACTGTCCAAGAATCCAGTTTTACATGGTAGGAGCAAATACATAGATGTGAGATATCATTTTCTTCGAGATCTCAAAAAAGGAGTCATTGAATTGGTTTATTGTCGCAGTGAAGACCAGGTTGCAGATATACTAACCAAGCCTCTCAAATTGGGTGCATTTGTGAAGCTATGTGATTTGCTTGGAGTTGTTTCATTTTCTAGTTTAAACTGAATGCTGATTGTATAACATTCAATTTAAGGGAGGGTGTTAAAGTTTATTATTTTGTTGTTATTCAGCAGAATAAATTTGTAATCCTATTCTTTAGGAAGTTAGGCAGTGTTTAACAATTCTTTAGGAAAATGTCATGAGCTTAGGAGTTGTTAGTCATGGGTTAGTTGCTGCCTATTTTTCTGCTACGTGCATCTCTGATTAGTTGTATTTAATAGTTTAAATTCATCAATAAAATTATGCTCTCCATTAAATAGATTAGCTTTGCCTTTTACGTGAGTTCTAAACAGTTTTAAGCACTAACAAAAATTTCACTCAGAACATGCGTAGACAAGCAAGCACCCAAGTCTGGACTCTGGAACCATAACCAAACCAGCTGTAATTCGCCAATTGTGTAATTCATTCGGTGGGACTCGGGAGCAAAGGTATTGGACGGAGGTCCTGAGCTCTTAAGTGTGAGAAAGACGAGTAGACAAGCAAGAAAAAGGAGGAGCTTCATATCCACATGATCCAAACAATTGTATACCTTTGAGGCCTAGGCACTCCTTGGATTGCATTTAGGTTAAATAAATTCATGGGAAGATATTCCCTGTGTACAGTTGGATGCCTTGCTCTATACGAAAGTTTTGAGATAGGTATAGACCCCAGCAAGGCAGCAACCTATATTCATGGGCTAGGCTTGGGTGTTGGGTTGGGTCTGATGACTTTAATTGGCCCATTCAAATTTTAGCAAGAGCCAAGCCCGAGTGGGTCCATGAATAGCACAAGTTTGGATAAAGAAGATTTTGTTGAATTAAGATCTGTCTAAGCTTTCCTCTATGCAAGACATGCCAGTAAACCGAATCTTGTTGCAATCAAGCTTCAAGTAAATCAGTTACCGTTTACGCTTCACCGCCATTAATGCCTTCAAGGCCAACTAACATTAACCGATCGAGCAGATGAAGGCCAGTGAAGACCTAGTTAATCTTGTCTACCTCTGGTTAATTTGTCATTACATCCAATTAAGTTCCACTGAGAGAGCCATGAGATCACCAACTACTATTGCATCAAGGAGTACAGGAGTCAGGAGATGAGGTTGAAAAATACAAATGTCACCGTGCAGGGTTGAAGACAGGTCATCTTGTCGGTCACTAAGTCATCACTATGAGTTGATGATCATTGATATTGGGTTACCCTCTTCAACTGTAAACTATCTAAATCTAATTTCAATTTGTCGTTGCATCATATCCCTTGATGTCCAGTGATCATAATCACCATGACTTGAAGATTCAAGCGGACTTCTCCCACCATTAGTTTACTCGATTCATTTCTTTCACCCAGACCCTCTTTCAACTCAGATAGTCCTCATCAACAACCAGAGTCCCCCAATGCATCATTGTAACCTCTGTGAAGCCCAGCCGAAACAACTTCCTCCTTCCATGCTTTCTTAGTTTGTTATTATTCATGGAGCAAGATTTTAGAATAATTAACCCATGTTCCATGCATGGTGCTTTATCAAGCTTCGAAGGAAAAAGAAACATGCCTTAGCTAAGCAAAATACTTTTCTAGGAATTTTGATATAAAAAAGAGTTCTTCTATTGGCCAGAATCAATGAATCGAAAAGAAATCATAGGTAGTAGACATGATCAAGATAGGATATAGAGCTCATTTATCCTGGAAAGTTAACACATGGCCTGTCCGACAAGTCCCCTTGTTTTGATATATAGATTGAGCATATCTATCACCTCTCTGAATCAAACAAGACATATAACCACACATCATATAGGATAACCCTTCGGATTACATTTCCGGATTAAATCTATATATAGATGGAAACATAGGGTATCCATGAAAATTGCCCTTTTCATTCTCTAACCTGATTAAGCATTCTTAATCTCAAATCATTGCACCGGTTGATACTTCTCAGGCGACGTTGGAGACAAAGACGACTCCGGTTAAGAGAGCACTAGCTTCTTCCAAACATGGATTTTTAACCGAATTGGTTGGTCAAGATTGATTGAAATGACTTGGTACAAAAAATAACAGTTGTAGGACCAGCCGACTAGGAAAAACATTGGATGAGATGGAATAGCAAAGAACCCAACCTACTTTTTTGTTCTTTCACATCACTTTCTTTCTTTCTTTCTCCTAACGAAGGTGGGAAATGGGAAAGGAATGGAACAGAAGGAAAAAAAAAACTTCCTTCTCTCTAAAGAAATAGAGAAGGAAGAAGGTTGAAAGAAAGAGGGACAACTAGGGGTGTCAATTGGACTTGATGTGGTCCAATCCGATCCAGTCCAGTGTGACTCCATTACAAATGGACCAAGTCCAATCCAATGAATATTTTGGACCATCTTGGACCGGTCCAATTCAATGTTTGAACCATCCTATCTGTTCAAATTCGTTTTAATTTAGATTAGTTTCAACCCAAACCTGGTCCATTGACACCTATATTCTTATCTTATATCAATGGATTGGATATTGGCTTAATCCAATCGAATCCAATATAAATTTATTACGAACAGACCAGGTCCAGTCCAATCTAATAAATATTTTGGATTGGATTGGTCCAATCCAATGTCTTGTTGGTCTGTCCAATCCGTCCAAATTTATTTTGGACTGGATTGGGTCCAATCCAAAACTGATCCATTG